TTTCTGGCTGAATGCATACTTTTTTCATTCGTTAGATTTATCACCTGCCACCTTTCCTCTAGAAGCATTGCATAGACTTCCCTTTTTTCCATTCCCCCCCCACAATGACCCTACAAGATGGACTGAACTAACCATTTGTCAGTTTTCATGGCTGAGCGTGGGCTTGAACCTGGGATTTCCCAATCCTAGTCCAAAATTGTAGCCCCTAAATCCTACTGGCTGTCTGGCCATAAGGATGCCTAATTTGATGATGGTGAAAATACATTAACCTAAATACACTGAAAAGTAAGTCCTCTTTTATTGCCTTCAGCTCTCTTACAAAATAATGATCTTCAGGCTAAGCTCTTTGTATTCATTTAATGCATTACCTGCAGATGTTGAATATAATATAATATATAATATTAAACTCCTCCCATTGTCTCCCCTCATATTTTGAAAAGTTAATTTGAAAGCCCAACCTTAGAGCTGTTAAGTTCGATTCTAAGAATCGGAAAAAAAGAAAAGAAATGTGATTTATGGTCTCTCCCTCGCCCCCCCAATCCTTTCAACCTATGAGATGTTCACTTCTTGTTATCATCGCTTTGGTGGTGATTCATATTTCGTAATCAACATTAAACACTTAGCAATCGGCTGTCAGATCGACATGAAGCAGAATGATGAAAGAAGCACGTGTGCACTGCAGCGACTACGATGATCTATTAAGTGCTTCTCTTGCACAACTTGGCCAAGTGTCAAGGGGGATCATTAAGCCATAAAAGTGTTTTTGAAGTTCCAAACTGTGAGTGAGAGAGAAGATGGTTTATGTCAGACTATGCTCTTGGGACATCTCACCCAGATTACATCTTCCTGTTAGGTATAGTTTCTACCAGGACTTTGTGATCCTTCCTACATAAGGAATTGATGATATTAATCAACCTTATCTGACCTAGAAAACTAAGCAGCTTGGTTAGAGTTTAGATCTAGAAAATCCCAAGACATTCTGTTCTCTTCCGTTCCATTCCATTCCATTCCAATATTCTGTTCTGTTCTGTTCTGTAGCTGCCCATCTCAACAATTGACCATGTTCACCATGTGTGCTTAGTTTTAAGTCCAATAAAGATATTTGCGACTTCTTTAGAGAAAGGATATGAAATATTCCATCATAATACATATCCTGAAACATATCTGTTTTTATGATACCTTAGTTCAGGATTTCCTAAATTGTGTAACATTATTCCCCTTGGTAAGTACGGAAAGAGTCCAGGGGAGATGTGAACAGTCTTTTAGTTACATTGGTGCAATAAATCCACCTTTCCCAACCTTTCATTTATTGCTTTCATTGTTCATTTGTGTACATTTCCATGTTTTTATTTTTAGGGAAAGCGTGAACATTAAAACTACAGTAAAGCCGGCTTGGTGACTTTGGGTCATTCATTTTTTCTTACCCAACCTACTTCCCAGGGTTGTTGTTGATATAAGGAAAATAGGAGGAGGGAAGGAGTATTAGATATATTTGCCACCTTGAGTTATGTACTGTATAAAGTAATAAAAATGAAATAAAAAATAAATTAATTAAAGAGAAGTGGGATGACAAACATTTAGGAGCTTCATTCTTACATCTACTGTCTATCTACCCAAGCTTTATTATCTGTATGTTATCTCCTGCTTTCTTAAATATTCCATGTTTCTCTAACTTGCGTTCATTTTGATACTAAATAAAGTTTTTAAATGAAAAATCTCAGAACTGTTGCCTGTGCTGGAAAATTAAAAAAAAAAAAAATCACCAAAGACAGCATTGGCAAAGCATCCTCCAAAAGTGTGAGATGGAGGACAATTTAAATGTTTCCAGCTAAGGAAAATTTACCTCTTGAAGCAAATACCACACCCTGATGCCCTAGGCAGCTATTTTTCTACTCTTCCCAAGCTCTTCTTCCAGGTTTCTAGCATCTCTGTGTCACAATGAGCTTTTGAGGTTCATAAACACTTTAATAGTTGATCTGTCCATTATCAAAATGTATAGAAATTGCAATATGGAAAGTAACCAGAGGTGGGATTCAGCAGGTTCTGACCAGTTCTGGAGAACCGGTAGCGAAAATTTTGAGTAGTTTGGAGAACTGGCAAGTACCCCCTCTGACTGGGGATTTTACAGTATCCTTCCCCTGCCACGCCCACCAAGCCACGCCCAAGTAAAAAAAATTGAATCCCACCACTGAAAGTAACCCCAGTAAAATCCCAATCAGACATGCCTGTTGAGCTGGTTCCAATGTAGTATGCCGGAAGAAACTTGATACATCTGTATTTCTTGCTTTGCATCCAAAGACCCGTTGGACTCCTCTTTACTCATAGTTTCTCATTGCTGCTATGCTTCCACCCACACCAGCTACTTTGATTTCCACCCTGTTTCAGCTGGAAGGTAGAAAAGGCTATGAAATTGTTGCTTGAAAATGCCATCTGACTCAGCCTAATTCACTGAAGACTCATAAGAAAGACGCACTGATTTGTAGGCACAACTGTGGCTTTCTGTGAGCATTCACATGCTGTTTTGCTTAGTGTTAATCTAACATCCTAGGGGAACTTTTTATCACTGCATTGATCAATAATCATTTCTTCAAGGAATAGCCTAGCCCTCTTACCTAACATGTGATTGCTATGACTACATCTTTGGGCTTAGGGCGTGTCAAATTTTTCAGCTTTCAATTTCCAAACATTAGGAGTGCTCAAAACTTGTGACATGCCTTGGGGATTGTAGAGATATTTTGGTTACTTTAATATAATTTAGATGTGCTTGGTCAGTAATTACTTAAATATCACAACTTTTTTACATTTTGTTTGTTTCGTTTGAAATGGGCAATCATATTTCCTACCCATTCCAACAGTATAATTCTCAAAAAATAATAGCTGATTTTTTAAAATGTCTGTTGAGTTCTGCAATATGCTACCAAAAGCCAAGATGTTAGTGAAACGAAAAGAAATTTCAGAAAAGGAATCAAACATTTAGTATCCAAAGCTTGCTTGAAAAAGTGTGTATATGTGTGAGAGCGAGTATTTTATTCTTCCTCCCATCTAAAATACATTCTGGATTGGTCCAGTTCGAGGCAATTCTGATTGTTATCCTATTTTCCAATATTGTTATATGTTAGTGTTGTCTGGATAGTTATACTATACGGTCCTCAATTTACAACTGTTTGTTTAAGGATGGCTTGAAGTTACAAGAGAAAAAGTGAGCCATCCTCCTAATTATGACCATTGCCCTATCCCACAATCGTGTGATTGCCATTGAGGTGCTTGGCAATCAGCTCACATTTATGGTTGCAGAGTCTTGTGGTCATGTGATCACAACATTCCCAGATGGCTTCCGAAAAGCAAATCAGTTGGGGAAGCTGGAGTCCCTTAACAACCATGTAAATTCACTTAATACCGTGATAAAAATGATCATAACATTGGTTCCCATCCTGTGATGCCTCCCTCAACAACCACATCACTTGATGCAACAAAAATGTTATAAAAATGTAACAAACCCAATGGAAACAACAAGGGAGCAAATTCCAAGTGTGACAGATAAGAAACAACAAGGGAGCAAATTCCAAGTGTGACAGATAAGGGAATGATATACAGAGGGGTTTTTTTTTGTCTTTGATTAACCACTTCAATATTCAGCCCATTTTTGCTTCTTGTTATATCAGCAATTCAGGGCAAGGCTGTCCAACTTAAAATGTAACGAAAAGTTCTTTTGGGATCTGAAGGACGGCATGATTCTTCGATAAGTGAAACATCTTCAAGGAAAAACAAAGAAAGTCCAACTGCTTTTTGAAAAGCACCTTTGGGACAACCATGACTTGGATGACTGAGAATCTCCACAGATATTCATGAATGACAAGTTCTGAAACATTCACAAAACTGTATATCCCTAGATTTGTCTTCCTTGAAAGGGTAATCAAGGAATCATAAATTATGAGAACTGATCAGATTCTTAACACATTCAATCTTATTTTAGTACAAGGGTGTTGTTGCAATTATGGCATCCTTAATGAATGTCAATTTCTGCTAAAAAGTCTCCAGTAAAAGTCTTTTCTGATTCAATTCCATCTCTCACTATCTACAATGAGGGCTCTTCTCCAGCAAGCTATGGCTGTAGTAAGAGAACCGGTATCAGGTTCATAGGTAAAGTGGCAATATATAAATAAAAGAAATAATTTTAAAAGGTGGAAATTACAACCCAGAATATATTGTGTGTGTGTGTGTGTGTGTGTGTGTGTGTGTGTGTTTGTAACCAAAGCAACAGGTTTGTGGAATCCTTATTGCTCCCTGAGCTTGGTTGTTCGCCTGCAAATGTTTTTTGGTCTCTGTTAGGTGTTGATGAGCTACTGTACATAAACAGAGTGCAAACATCACTCCCTTCTAGCACTGAAGATGTTACCTAATTGGGTAATGAAACACCTGCAAGGAAATAACCAAGCCAAAAGAGTACCAAGGACCTAACAGTTCAACCCTGAGCTACAAATATTCTCTTCTACTAACTTGATTAAGTTACAGCAAGGTTGTATTAATCAAGCTGGAGAAATGTTCTCCCTTCTAGGTCCATTGACTTGATGACTACAAGAGAATGTTGACATTAATGTCTATCTCAATCTAATCATAGTGAATCTTTCCTATTACTCAACATCAGTTTCCTGTCACTCAACGCATTTATTACAAAATCAGTACAAGTGTGGCTTTTTGAATATGTCTTAAAATATGTAAAAACTCAACTAACATGCATGTATACCTGATCTAAAGCTTTTTTTTTAATCTGCTTTCTTCCTTTCCTCCACAATAAAGCCTAGTGATCACTGCCTATACATAACTGACTTCAGCTTTATTCCCATATGTGATTACAAAGAATGGCAACTTAAATATTTCTTAAGGTTTGAAATTCCCTTAGCAAGTTCTTTCTCAGTACCTTAAAGAATCAGACCATGAAACCACCACCCATGGTTGCAATTCTTCTAAACAATGAGAGGTCTATTTACAAGTCAACTTACATCCAGATGCTAGATTGGAAATCACTACTGGCAGGAGGAGAAATGCCCAACTCTTCATTTTCGCCACAGCCCATATGCTGAGTCTCCAAGAGGTACAGAAAACAGACTCAACCAACTTCAGCCAGTTGTCTTTGCGACATCAGTATATATTACATGGGTGGTTCATGTGGAGACAAACTAGGAGGAGCTTGAGGTTCAAAGGTAGATAGCACAGCATCCCACAAGGAAGGAAGAGGCGTGTCCACCAATATCAACCCTTGCCATAGGCATGAGTCTATGTGTTCTAGTCTGATATAAATCAAATTAATCCAAGCAGGAAATTCCTGTTTGCAGCTACTGTGACACACGCATCTGCCCATAAGACAAAAAGTGTGCTGAGATACAGCTATTTGTAGTGAATTCATTTGGGGAGGCCTTTATTTGTGTAGGATGCCCATTAGCACCTTCAAAGCATGATGCTAAAATGATAGCATCACTAAGAAGTTGATCCAGGTCAGTCTCATCTCTCAAATCTCAAATCTCACCTCTCAGACATAAAATTTGCAGCATGAGACAAGCTACATATTTTCAGCCACGAATCTTCATATCCATTAGCAACGTATGAGGATTCCGCAAATACCACCGGGATCCTTAGAGTCAGAGAAGAAGACTTCAAAGACCAGATGCCTTACAGATAGTAAATCCCCACATGGATGGGGAGGATTGGCCAAGATCTTTTTAAATTTTAACATTCTACGATTCTATATGCAGATTAGTAGCAGCCAATGGTATGCGCGCACATAAGAGGGAAGAGGAGGAGGTGGAAGAAGAAGGAGGAGGAGGAGGAGGATGGACAGGTAGAAGGGTGGATGGATGGATGAATGGATGGATGGATGGATAGATGGGGGGATGGACAAAGTGTAAATGGCCTAGAAGTGTAGAGACCCAGGTTCAAGTCCTCCCTTAGATATGGAAGCTGGCTGGATATCTTTGGGACGGCCACTGTTTTTCAGCTCTGGACTGGGAAATCAAAAAATCTCTATTTGTTATTTACTATGGTGGACATTTTAAAACAGGGAAGCTGAAGTTGTTCTAATGTAGAAGGATAACAGTTCTTTTAAAAAAAATAATTGCCAGGGTTCAATTTTCTGTTTCACTTGATCCCCATAAGATTTGAAGATAAGACATTAAGTAACTGGCAGAGAACCAATTTTATATGAATTAATGATAAAAGACCAAGAGTAAATTTCAATGTTTTATAAAATTCAAAAAAACAAGACAGATTGGCAGTAGTAAAATTTAAATTACCAAGATAAATGGATAATTTAATTTATCAAGATAATTTAAATTGCCAAGCTAATTTGGACATCAGACTGGATGATAATACTTTGTGGCTAGATTGCTTCTATGGAAGAAATAGGACCTTCAGATGTCAGCTCAAATACCTTTCTTTAATATAAATAGAAAAGTACAAAGTTTAAGAAACGACTCAAGAATAAATAGCATTTTAAATGTATGGGATGGAGCAAGAAACAATCCAGATTTATGGCCGCTTACTTTGATATTAAACTTACTTTGATATTAAATAATTTCCATGATAGAGAATGTACAAAGAAATGTAATCAGGAAAGGACAATAACTTATTAATAAGATGAAGATGTAATACTTCAAAAATTTCTCCTCCAAATTGCTAGAGCCACATCTTCAGTTTCAGTGTCTACAAATAAGCAGTATAGTTCAAAAGGGATTACAAAACTCAGACAGAATGCTGAGAAATTCAACTGTTTGGAAAAACCTATTACACAAAATTCAGATCATTCACTGGAGCTTATCTATATCTTGAAATAGAATTCAGAAAGGAACAAGTCAAAGACAATGAGTAAAGTGATGTAGAATTTAAGCAGATCAATTGATAATGCAGCAGTAAAAGTATCAGTGGAAGAAAAAAATGTTATATTTATGGTTAATATGCACTTAGAAAAAAATTGCTACACGATGTAAACGACAATGAGAAAGGACTTCAATGTAAGAAAGTATGCAATTGACTTACTAAAAAAATCTACCAAGGTTTTTCTCTCCACTGCCAATTCAAGCAGGAGTTATGAATCCAGGAAGATTCGCAAATTGCACATCAGTTCTACCTAAGGAAAGTGCAACTCCATTTAGGATGGAAAATGCAACTTCATTTAGGATGGAAAATTCCTGGCATAAGAAGAACCTTGCGTTGTGTAGCTACTTGTTCTTATCAGGGTTGCCTGTTTTTTGTTTTTTTGTTTTCAATTCAAACCACATCCACCTCCAAGTATTGGAATGAGACCTTGATATCATGACATGATTGACCTATAACTGAGTATCAATGCCATATTTGTGATACTTGATGTTGTGTTGACAGATGATCTCATCTACTAGCTTCATGTAGACATTGAACAGGAGGGGTCAAAGTGACATCCTACAGCACCTGACAAACCAGGGGGTTGAGTTCAACCTCTTCCCCTTCTCAACGCTGTTAGTAGCAGAGATGGAGAAAAGAGAACCACTGTAACCAAATGCCTTTCACTCCCAATTCCCATAATCAGTCTAGAGGAGCATCATGATTGATGATACTGAAAGCTGCTGAGTGATCAAAGAAAATTAGGATGACTGTACCATTTCCATCCAGTCTCCATCCAAAATCATCTATGAGTGCCATGTCCACCAAAAGCCTACCTGAAATGGGTTCAAATAATCCCATACTTCTAAATCTGCAATCTGATCACTTTCTCATCAACCATTCCTAAAAAGGGAAGGTTACAGACCTTGTCCAGAAGTGTTGGGCTTTGGTGGAATCAACATCTGATAGGAAGGAGGTTCTGGTAGAATGGGGGAAATTGAGTGATGTTCCAGTTGGGATTCCATCAGAGATAGTATTCAGCAGGTTCTGACCAGTTCTGGAAAACCGGTAGCAGAAATTTTGAGTAGTTCAGAGAATCGGCAAATACCCCCTCTGATTGGCCCCGCCCCCATCTATTCTCTGCCTCCCGAGTCCCAGCTGATTGGCTGGGTCTTCTTTTATAGCCCTGCACAGGAGAACGGAGCTGGAAAGCTGAGGTGGGGAGGGAATGGGGATTTTGCAGTATCCTTCCCCTGCCATGCCCACCAAGCCATGCCCACCAAGCCACACCACACCCACCAAGCCACGCCCACAGAACCAGTAGTAACAAAATTTGAATCTCACCACTGGATTCCATAAGTAGGAGGAAGCATATGAGATCAAACACTTAGGTCTATATGAGGCTTTTCCAGGGGAAAGCAGGCAATCTACTGAGATTCCTGTAAACTGGTGAATCAACAATAAAGAAACCTCTTGATCTAAGCTTCAGAGCTATTCCGGTTGCTCGTCCCTGACAAGGGTCGAGCAATGATTAATTAAGGAGGAAGGAACCACCTGCTCATCAGGTATCTATCTATTCATCACCATATCGACCCAATCACCTCACCTCATAGAGCAGTGGTGTCAAACTCATGTTGTCATGTGATGTATCGTGACATTTTCCCCCTTTGCTAAAACAGGGGTGGGGTTGACCAGCATATGACTCATCCAGCCTGTGGGCCAAGAGTTTGACACCCATCATAGAGGCTCTAGTCAACGAGGAGAAATATGGATTACACATCTACAAATAGGAATGTTTTTCGCCCACTGATTTTGTAAAACCTAAACAGGGTAAGGTAGCTTTATATCCTGTCTTGAGCAATACCATCTTCTCATGGGGCCTCAGAAACAGATCTGTTGCAAGACCTGCTGCCTGGAACAGCAGGCCACTCCACTGCCCTTAAGAAGTTTTATTAGTCCTGAACCTGCTATCTGTTCAACAGGTCTTGAACACTGGGCTTTTACTCCGATCCTGGATCGCATAGTTACCTACATTGCTTCATGTTGTATTAATTTATGGTGTATGTCTGTCAGTGGTGGGATTCATTTTTTTTTTACTACCGGTTCTGTGGGCATGGCTTGGTGGGCATGGCTTGGTGGGTGTGGCAGGGGAAGGTTACTGCAAAATCCCATTCCCTCCCCACCCCACTAACCTGCTTTCCAGCTCCGTTCTCCTGTGCAGGACAACAGAAGGAGACCCAGCCGATCAGCTGGGACTCGGGATGCAGAGAATAGATGGTGTTTGCCAGTTCTCCGAACTACTCAAAAAAAGTTTTCTCAAAATTCTCCAGAACTGGTCAGAACCTGCTGAATACCACCTCTGATGTCTGTTCCTCCTTTTATGCTTATATTTTATTATTTTGATTTTATGTACTGTGGTTTTGTTTTTAATGTGAATGCTGCCCAGAGTCATTGTTGAGTCTCTCTCTCTCTCTCTCTCTCTCTCTCTCCCTCCCTCCCTCCCTCCCTCCCTCTGTGGGTGGGAGGGTGTTTGCTATACAGTATTATAGTTCAGGGTGTCAACTCCATGGAGCAATTTTTGGCCAGCTTGCTTCATTTTCGAGACATATTTTACTTCTGGTTTTTTTTTTATTGTTTCAAGAGAGCAATTTTTAAAAAAAAAAACAGCAACAACACTTCTTATCATTTGTGGCAGGAACATATCTCAAGTAACAAGGCCAATCCAGGAAATAGAAAAAGAAACTAAGTTGGTCAAAATCCCCAAAATTCAGCCTTCAACTCAGAAATGGGTTTTTATTTATTCTTATTGCTAGCAAGACAAAAGCTTCTAGCTGACATACTAGCCACAACAAAGAACCTAGATTCTTTTACTCCACCCATTTGGATGAGAAAGCTCATCAAATAATCTTTTAGCACAAATTCATACCTGCCAGCGCGTCACACAAAAGATTCATGTGAAACAATTGTGTACACGCAGTTGGCACTTCCCATTCAATCTCTATGAAAAATATCTGTCCGTCTTTGAATTTATGTCCCATGATAAATCTTTGCTAATGTAAACAATACTGGACAATCTGTGGGACTGCCTTTCCCTAAGGACATCTATCCATCCTACCAGGTAGACAGGATGAGTACACTCCTTGTCGCTTTCCCAAATGTTGTCATTTCTTGGGAACCAGGAAGTGTGCCTTTTCTGTGACAGTCCCTGTCCTATGGAACTCTCTTCCTCCTGAAGTTCAGCAGATCTCTGCCCTTTTTGCCTTCCATCAAGGCTTGAGAGA